TATATATGGAGTTATTAATCCGCGTACATCCATATAATAGAAGAAAAGAGTCATATGTGTATGTACTAATATATGTTAAGGATAAAAGCTTGCATATCATTACCTAGATTTAAAAGCTCGTGGAGATTTCCAATCTTTATTTGTATTTTGTTAGAATTATTCAACTCTTCGAAGAACATGAACTCCTTGTCCCAACAATATGATTAACAAGTTAACAAATAAATAATGCACTAGAGTACGAAGTATAATATAAAATATGATAATACCAATTACCCTTATACTCTTATGTATAGTGGTGGACCCAGCATTTTGTGAAAGCGGGTTCAGTCGGAGAAGTCCATAACTAACATAAGTGGTATAAGCCGTATAAGCGGATTAAAAAATAATTTCTATACAAAATTTATCTTGCTTTAGCCATAATTTATATATATATACAGTATTATTTTTTGATCTAGTTATGTAAACGTGGAATATTTTGTACACCGGACTGCCCTTTTTCCCATATATATAATTGTGTATGCATATGTGTGCTCATGTTTGTTTTCATTTTCATAAAATGGTGTTATTTTTTTGTCTTAATGCTAGTTGCATGTAGATATGCATATAGGTTTAGCAAAGTTTAACTAATAGATCCCCAGGAAGAAACAAAGAGAGTACTGACAAATATATTTATGGGGATTAGCCCTTAGAGTTCGTGTTAGCTCCAAACAGAGGCGGATCCAAAATTTAAAGCTTATGAGTTCCTATAACGATCTTAAGTAAATATACAATAAGTAACTGAGTTTACAATCAAATATTTTCGTTAGAAACCACGTATAATCTTTGTCAATAAAACCTCAAGAGGACGATGATGTCTTGGTTGTTAGGGGCGGATCAGCCCTTTGGTATCGGGTTCATCTGAACTTGGTAATTTCGATACGGAACATAAATTTATGCGTAAAAATTCAACATATGAACAAATAACTTAAAAAATATACGAGCTCAAAGCTAAAAACCTTAAAATTTGAATCATAGGGTACAAATATTGCAAATACAGTCGAGTCTCGTGATCAAAAAGACAAATTGAAAGAGCAAGATCATTTCCTTGTTTTCCTTAATTTTAATATATGGTGAATATAATATTACAGAATATGGCAAACATTTTGGGTGGTATTGGTAGCATACTCAGGATGGTCATCCCCTTTCGAGTTGGCATTCAAGAAGGTAGCCGTTGAAGGCCTTTTGCCTCTTGATATAGTGGTCGATGCCTCCTTCGCCATTGACATTCTTCTCACTTTCTTTGTCGCTTACTCGGACAAATCCACTTATTTACTCGTTGATGATCATAAGAAAATTGCTTTCAGGTGCTTTATATATTATTAATTCTTTGAATTTCCGATTATAGATCGTTTGTACATGAAAGAATAGTTTAATGTCTATATGCTAACATTATAAAAGATTATCCGGTCAGCTATATATAAGATAATTTTAAACAACGTTAACAACTTGTTTGAATGGTTGTTACATATTGTATTTTTACTTCAGATAAAATGTTTGTTTTGATTGTTACTTAAATTTTATTGTATCGTATCGTTAAATCCGTCGTTAAGTAACGACAAAAAATACCACTTTATAGAACGACAGATTTAATGTGGTGGCAACGTTGCCTTGTTTTTTTCCTTTCATCTTGCCCTTCATATTTTTTTATTAATCTCACCATCTCGAGGGGTTTAGGCTGACATTAGAATCCAAAAAGGAAATACATGGAGACGGGGACATAAAACCTTACCTCTCCTTCTGCAACAAGTAAGTTAGGTATTCCTAACCGTAAAGTTAGCAAAAAAATTACATGATGTAATGTCATTCCCATATTGATCACCAAATAAATAAGTTGATCCTAGTGTCGGATTGACTAGGAATAAACAGTTAAGCTTCCAGAAAATGAGGGAACACAACTCCCTATTATCGATGTGTAAAAACATAGCTTGACGAAGTTCCATTCTTGTGCTTTTTCCTAATTCTGAAATTAGGAATTTGATTTTGATCCATTCTGGAGCATCCTCTAGCCTTCTTAGGGAGGTCTTTCCATTCATCAAACAAGACAAGGCAGTAGTACCATCTAATAAGTTTTTGCTAGAACATCTGCTCGCAACAGTGTTTGCTTCTCTAAAGCAGTGTTGAATGTTGAAATGATGGGTTTGTAGACCTTGTTTAATCTCCTCCACCCATTGAGCTAATTCCCATGGAATAACATTCCTGCTACCATCTGTATTACGTAACTTTTAACCAATTAAGTGGAGCTTTTTCCCAACTAACTGGTACAATAGTTAACATAGGTCTGGCGCTCTCTAGAGCATTACATAAGGTATGCCAGTTCCATTTTAAGTCAATTGGAGCACCAATCTTCTTTAAATGGATTTTCAGATGAAAAAGAATTTCCTCACCAGGAAATCCTCTTCCAAATCTAGCTTCACATCTAGCTTTCCAGATCTCCCAACATATATAAATCGGAGCAACCTATATATAGAAATTAGAAGAATTGAAGTTGTTCCAAGTGAAAAATCTCATTCGTAGAGTAGGAGAGTCTGATGTAAATCCCAAAGCTGTGGAAAAAAAAGACCATATTTGTTTGGCTTTTTCACTAGTGTGAAAAACATGGCCTTTACCCTACTTTTTATAATAATTCTACTCTTTATTCTATTTTTTCTTAGTAATGTTGCAAGTTTATTCTTCATATTGTTGGTGTGTGACATCATGAAACGATGGCAAACGATACAATTTATCAAAACGTTGTATTCACCAAATAATACAGTACAATGCAGTACAATACAATACCATACATAATGAACATGTAACAACAATCCAAACAAGCTATAACCTCTCTTAAAAACTGAGATTAGTGACCTAAAAAATAAGTTTACCTACTACAAGTTAGAGTACATGGATAGTGTCCGAAATTCTGTACATTGTTAGTATATACAAGGTAAATTTAAACACATATTGCTCGTATCTAGCGGATTAAATGTTCGTATTCAATTCGAAGAGGACTGCCACATGTAGGAGTGTAGTTTCTTGGCATACTACATGAAAGAAAAACTCAAAGACTCAAAGAAAACGAAATTGGAATTACATTTGGGATCTTTTACTTTTTGCATGCCAATGAAGGTTACACAAGAGTTTTTCTTTTTGTTATGACGATGGTATCTGGACCAACTGGGGTACCTCGACTGAATATTTGTAATTATTTTTATTTCGAAAGGTATGTCATTCATCTAGGGTTCCCAATGGATGTTGCATCAACCGTACCATTTCAAACCATATTCCGGATCTTTGACGGGAAGAAGCAAGGAGAAGATGTTTTTGGCTTCCTAAACTTGCTCAGACTTTGGCGACTACGGCGTGTTAATAAATTCTTCTCAAGGTATTGAGTTGACATTAATACTCAAACATGATCATTTCCAAAAGTCCTGTAATTGAATTCCAATCTCAAGTTCCAATATGAATCCCATCAATTCCATCTCAATGTTAATCTCTTTCATTCTTCCAGGCTAGAGAAGGACATTCGGTTCAGCTACTTCTGGACAAGATTCTGTAAACTAATTTGTGTAAGCACTTTTTTTTTCAAACTATATATCCATTACGCCAACTTTACCTGATCTTGTGGCTGTAATTCTGTCATAGATGACCTTATTCGCTGTGCATTCCGTTGGCTGTTTATATTACTGGCTAGCAACTCATTATCATACTGCAGAGAATACCTGGATTGGATCAAATGTTACTAATTTCCAAGAAAGAAGTATCTCTCTAGGATACACATATTCCATGTATTGGTCTGTTGCTACCCTCACCACGGTTGGCTACGGTGATCTTCGTGCACATAATACAGGAGAGAAGATTTTCTCCATCTTCTACATGTTTTTCAACATTGGCCTCACTGCTTACTTAATTGGCAACATGACCAATCTTATTGTCCATGGCATTGCTCGAACTTTCGCAATGGTAATGATACCATAAAGAAAAATGAGACTACAGTAATGCTATCCACATTTCAAGTCTCAGTGAAGAGAGCATGTTTAGAACAATATGATAATCAGTTTTTAATTGCAGCGGGACGCCATCAATAAGACAGTGAGATATGCAAGCAAGAATATACTTCCAGAAGGCATAAAAGAGCAAGTTCTGGCACATTTGACTCTCAAATTCAGGACTGCAGAACTACAGCAAGAGGAAGTAATTGGAGACTTGCCCAAAGCAATAAGATGTAGCATTGCGCAATATCTTTTCCATACAACACTTGAAAATACCTACCTTTTAAAAGGGGTTTCTGAAGATTTCTTAGTCCAGTTGGTGATGCATTCTCTTACCTGCCTACTAAAAGCAGAATTTTTAACCCATACAGCTCCACATAACTAAGCTATGTCCTTTATCTTTTGATCTTACAGGTTTCCGAGATAAAAGCAGAATACTTTCCACCAAAAGTTGACATTGTTATTCAAAATGATATACCAACAGATTTCTATATTGTTGTCTCTGGAGCTGTGGTATGTACCAGTCCCCTCAGCCTTTGCTCTTACTACTCCTACACAGTTAACTGGTAAGTGGTTGAAAACTGCAGGAAGTGGTTACATACAAGAATGGAATGGAACAGGTTAGTTATCCCATTCTCACATTGTTTGATGCTGCTCCTAATTTTTCTTTGCCGTCCTAGTCATTGCTAGACAAAGTAGAAGTTGGCTAACTTTAAAGAATGAAGAAGAGAAAGAATAAGGATAATTTATATCCAAGTGCCTGGAGACACAGGGGCAGAAAGTCCACGGTGCATACTGATTTCAATTATTCTATAAAAAGAGGACAGAAGATGAGTATCGTTTGGTTGCTAGAAATAGTCTGAGAGAACGATCTAATCTATTCTAATAAGTATACTTTCTCATATTGTCAAATTCAAACCAATCACATTTCTTACATTTATCTGTATTTTTATTAACAAGAGACTACAGAACCTCTATATTAGTTTAAACAAACTTCAGAGATTAAACATGACAAGAAGCTTAAGTAGGATATATGAACATCAATCACATAAAAAATTTGGCATAAAGATCTTGAAAGCTGGTGGAAACTATCTTATAAAAGTGAGGACAGTGCCTATAGGATTTAAACTACATATCAAGCTGGATCTAGGAGAAATTTTCAGCTTGAGGAAGTGAATTATCACAATACAAATGCTACTTTTCTTATGTAAAGCCTGATAGCTAAAAATATGGGTATAACAGACAAATCACAAAAATAGCTTTACTCACCAAAGCTGTTTGACACTTGAACTAATACCGTGCATTGAGATAAGCAGACTCTTTGACTCAGAAGTAATGAAATAGATCAACGACATGCCCATGACCAACAGAGAAAAAACCTGGTGCAAAAGCTTTGTGCTAGAGGCTATAAAAGAATAATTCTTAAGTTAACCAAGAGAGGGTGAAAAGCATATAATGTTGAGAGATCATTTGACTATAATCTCTAGATTAATGATCAGTTGACATGGACTTCACATCTATTAAATTAGAAACTGCAAAGCTAAGTGCGACTGGATTGTAACTTTCTCATCGTACCTTTTCAGCTGCATCCAACAATCTGAAATGTCATTTACTATCTACTGAACAAATCAAGAAACATCATAACAAACCATTAATGAATGATATGTGAGCAGATACTGTCGATTCTTGTATTAACTTAAAACATATGACAGTTATGTAACCTAACCATTGTTGGTAATAGATTGCATGTTCAATCATAAATGTTATCGAAAAGTGATGCTAACTCGAAGCAGACAACCTTTACTTACGTTATACCATTCACTGGTCGATTAAGCCAACATTTATCATAGTATGAAAATCTCCAATTAATCAGAGAGTTGTTTTCTTAAAATAGTTTCTCCTTTCTGCTGAACAGTTCCTGTCAAAGTTGGAATCCCCAGGATTGTTCGGGGAAGTAGGTGTTATCTTTAATATGCCCCAGCCTTTCACCGTGAGAAGTAAGAGGTTTTCTCAGGTTGTTCGAATCAGCCATCATCATTTCAAGCAACTGCTGCAGCCACTTAACGCAGATGGAAAGATAATCCTCTCCAATTTTCTTCAGGTACTGTGGTAGCTTTTAGTTGCTAGTCTTGAACATCATAATATTCCCAGTGACAAGCTAGTTATTAAGGTTTCGTGCCCTATGCTTGAAGATCTGAGCATCAGTAACACTGAGCTAATAATGGCATTTTCCAGTTGGATGACAGCTCATCAGATTAGCTCTTATGTTAGTTCTCTCTCTATTCATACTCACATCATGGTCTTGTGACATGATGTAATCAGCATCTGAAAGGAATGGAAAGGGAAGAGATACCACTCATATCAGAGCTGCTCAGTGACCTGAAAAGTGAGGTAATCCTTTGCAATAAACTAGCAAAATCTATGGCATTAAACTAAGTAATTGAACCTGGTTTGATCCTTTTTTTTTTCTTGATGACTGAGAGATCCTTCTGGGTCGAACCTTTAGGACCAACCGCGGCCTCTGAAACTCGGGGATAATGCCTCCACCCTCCCCTACCCTTCTCCACTTAAATACCATGATTAGTTCGTATGGCGCGGGTCTCGAACTTGTGACAAACATCTTTCAGGAAAAAGTTCTCCATGAGAATGACTTGTCATACCAAATAATAAATGTACGTCTACCACAGTAAAGGAGAGGACAAATACTTTTTATCCATCATCTTGTATCATCGATGGTAAAGAAACCAAACAAATGTCACCCTTTTTTGATATCCTTGAGCCAAAAAAACAGGGGAAAAGATATTCCTAGAAAGGTTTGACAACGTCCCGTTGCCGATACAACAGTAAAATCTAAAATACAGAAGTTGCAAATTCTTGTAATAGCGGGCACTACCGAAACAAAGCAAGAAGCATAGTCAAGCAAACGAAAGGCTTCCAAACTCTTATTCACTAGTAACATCAGTAACGTTATCCAAATTTTACCAGCCGATCAATTTCTTTTTTTTTTTTTTTATGAAGTAAGGTGTTATATTGCTGGCATCAAGAAGATGCAAATCATTACAAAGAGGTTGGTTAGCTCCATTTACACAAAAATATAGTTCTGACCAGGGAGCTAACCAGAAGCGCCAAAAGCCTAAAGTTGGCAATCAAACGAAAGACAGAGAGCTAATAAAATCTAGAAATGGAATTAAATCATTTACAGAGGAAAGGTTGCTCCAGCTATATAGATTCCTAAGGCACTTTGCTTTCAGTTAGCTGTTGGGAGTTGATATTCCATCAAAGCATCTGCGATTCCTTTCTGCCCAAATACACCAAAATATACATGCTGGGATCATCTGCCAGATCTTCTTGATGGTTCTACCGACTTTCCATTGACTCCAACTTTCAACTGCTTCTTCTATGCCTTGTGGTATTGTCCAACTTATGCCAAAAATTGAAAGAAACATGTGACACAAATCTGCAGCCACTCTGCAGTGCAATAGCAAATGGTTTATAGATTCTGAGTTGTCTAAACACATGTAACATCTATTCACCAGCTGGAAATTCCTTCTACATATGTTGTCTTGAGTTAAAATAGCAACTTTAAGAGCTATCCAGGTGAAGCACATGAACTTTGTGGGGAATTTTGTCTTCCATATGAGCTTCCATGGCCAAAGCTCAATTATTTCATTGCTAGCACACAATTTCTTGTATTCTACCTTCACTGAATAACAACCTCCGTTCAGATTGCCCCACCTTAAACTGTCTTGAGCTTGTGTATTCATTTGAAAACTTTCCAGTAGCCGGAAAAGATCAAAGAGTTCCCCAAGTTCCCATTCCTGCATGTGCCTTCTGAAGAGGGGATCCCATATGTTTCCTGATCTGTATTGGGCAATTTTTGAGTCTGGATTGCTTCATTCTCTTGCAGGTGGGTACAGTGAGTAGGAGACAAAATCATGAAGGACAAAGCCAAGATGGAAATAGTAAGCTTATGCTTCACCTAGAACTGTTCCATTATTAATACCTCACCCTGTGAGTAAGATATATGTGCTGACATCAAAGAGTGAACAGTTGGCATCAAAATTTACCAAAGATCGTATCATATATGCCTTAAATGTGACTATGAAACTTTGCAGAGTATGTAAAATATAACGGAACGTAGAATGGTGAAATTTGATGGACATAAACCCTTGGTTGTTTTGAAAATTTTTTAGCTACTTTCTACCTGCTTCATATTTGACCTTATATAATTTTACTCAAATAAGCAACATTTTTGTTTTCTGTAGGCATTATTAAGTTTGAAATTGAAAAACCTTGAAACATTTTGGGTTGTCGACACGCTTTTTTTCTTTTTAGTAACGTAAATAATTTCATCAATGTGGAAAAACTTTCGTAAAAAGCCAAAAATGCTTCTTTAAAAGTTTGATCTGAAAAAGTGAAAACTACTGTATGATTCAGATTTCTATTTGCAGTTCAGAAAACGGGCATTTCCAATTTAAATTCATGAGTTGAATCTCACTTAGACAACTAAGATTTAGTTTTTGACTATGGGTTGCTTCTGTATGCTTTTTAGTTTTGCATGACTTAAGGAGGATAAAAAATACATGATGGCATTCTTGGTGAGGAAACCCCGAAACATCTTTCAATAAATTATAAGGGTTTTGTGCTCTAATTTTACACGAATTACCACAAGTCCCAGAGTGTCAGACACACTTCCCACTAGGGTTATAATACATGGACATCATCCACATGACAAGCCAAATGAAGGAGGAATTGCAGGAAAACCAATACATCTACCTGAGTCAGTTGAAGGTCTCCTAACAATAGCAGGTAAGCCTAAGTAAATTGGCTTAGTCTACTGGACTCAGCTTGTGAAGCATTGAAATTTAACCAATACTTACGACAAATTCGTTTCAATTCATTCTTTAATATGAAGAAAAGAAAATCAACGATTTTTCTCCAATGCATTGTCAAGGAATAACAATATAAGAGAGGAATTACAATTTTAGAGCATCTAATTAGATTTTGGTGGATGCAGAGAAAAGGTTTGGCAAAAGAGGAAGTAAAATTCTCATGGCAAATGGCTCCCAAATGGAGGATTTGGGCGCTTTACAGGAAAATGATCACTTGTATATAGTTTGAGGGAAAAGTCCTCTAAGATATGTATTGACAAATAAAATCATGAAATGATTAAGAAGTAAAGCTGATAGAAAATACCTTACTAAGACACGGAAGTTCTGTGTTAATAAACCTTTATCCAGAGTTGTGAAAGCATAGATATTTCCAATGATCCTATGTTAAAGAAGATTGAGCAGGACATGAAATACCTTACCTTTTATACTCCCTTGTGAATTCCGCTCAAGTTTTGATGCCTCTTACTATTTTCGTTGTTTTATAGGCCTCGGTGCTTCACCATGAGAGCTTCCTCCGATACCGAAATCAACCAGCTCGAGTTCGAGCTCAAAGATCAGGTCTGGAAAAAAGACATGTACAGGCTCCTTAGTGAGCAAAAGGACGGGGCCGTCAAAGACCTCTAGGTCGAGCTGGACAAGGCTCAGAAGGAAGCTTCGACCGTGAAGCAGGAACATGCCGACCTGGTTGAAAAGGTAAAGGCCTTTGAAGCTAAAAACGAGGAGCTAGTCGTGGGGACTAACAACACAACCTAGCAGGTCTACCAGAAGATCGACCTGATCGACCAGCTCTGAGCCGAGATGGACGAGGTCAAGGCCATGGCTGAAGAGTGAAAAAGTAGAACGGACATGCTGGCCTCGGAGAAGGAAACCGCGAAGGCAGAGCTAGCATCAGTTGAGAACCAACTCCGGGTGGAGAAGGACAAAGCTGACAAATGGTCTCAACTGAATGATGATCTCCGAGTACAACTAAGCACGGTACCCTTGGTAGAGAATATGAGGCAATAAAGCCCAAACCGGACACAACCTCCGCTGATGCCAAAGAAATGGTGGCCTAGTACAAGGCTAATGTGGAGGCAGATGAGACCCGCGTAAAGACAAAGGCTGAATATGTGAAGAGGCTGTCCTGGAGAGAGACCTTTGAAGAGATCCACGCTCGAGGTTTCGACCTATCGACTGAGATTGAGGAAGCAAAAAGGCTCAAGACCGAGGCAAAGTTGCTCTACGAGCCTGAAGGTGCCTAAGGCTTCGAGGGTTCCGACGTTTCTAGCGATGAGTGGGGCCCATGTGAAGACCAGGCGTAGATGCCGTAGTACTTTTTTTAAAATTTTTTATCTCATGTATATATATATTTTTTTGTTTATTTTGAGGCCCTTTTTATTGGGCCTTTGTAAACATACTTTGGAATATATATGAAATTTCCCTTTTCTGGCAATATCTTTTCTTTACTTTTCCAGCATCCTTTTATAATTTCTATTATGATAATGTTTTTGATGCCTTAGCATAGAATCAAGTGTAGTTATGGGGCATTCGTTTTTCGGAGGTTCGAACGAAGCCCGGCCTCGATGCAACTTTGTTTTCTCAAGGCTTTAAAACCTCGGTGTGAGCGGAGGTTTTTAAGATGCTTAAGTGATTTTAAATGATACTTTTGCCAAGGGTAATCTTTTAACAGGTTTCGAGTTTTTATAAAGGTCTTACTTTCTGATTACGAGCTTCAGACGTCTCTGTTTGACTCAAAAGATGTTAAAACTTTTTTGAACAAATCAATCAAAGATGAAGGGGTAAATCGTAGCTGAAGATAATAACTCTAGAATAATAATAGGTAAAGAGAAGAGAGTTGTGAGTTTTCTTTTCATTCAAGATTCGTAAGTTTTTCTGAGTCCCCCTTTTACAAGGTCCTTTTTTCCCCCTTATATACTAGAGAGAAACCCTTCTGAATTGTAAGAAATAAAAATACAAGGAATATTCTTAATGTCCCCCAATGGGTTTACACTTCTACAAGGGTCGTACAGTTTCTTCTTTTGCCTTAAGGTCGTCCCCCTCGGGACACCGGTTCAGAGTTATCCGGTCGTTTGTCATACTATTTATGGGTCGTGGTCGGTCAAATTTGGACCCATACAGTTAGTCCCTCTGCTTGTCGGGGTTACGACCAGATACTTCCTCGATGAGCAGACTTCATGCATTCTTTTGGAGAAATTTGACCTATGGGAGCGCTATGTCGTGGCTAATGGGAGGTGGTCATCATGCTCAGCAAAACATCGTGTGATACACTTCTCTGGGAAGTGATGTCAGCTTTACGTGCGTCATCATTACGCAGGTTTTCAAGGCGGGGACTGACGACTTGGTGCTTCGATTCTTGAGCTTCTTTGAAGCCAGTTGCCTCAATTCTGGCGCCTCCCAATCCTATAAATAGGTGAAGGATTTGATTTTTTGAAAAACATTAGCCCTTCCTCTCTTGAAGACCTCTTTCATTCTTTCTCACTTGTTCTCTTATCCTTCTGCTCTTCTTTCGTTCACCACCTGAAACTTCTTTTTCCTTCCTCCTTTTGTGTTGATACTCCTTCAAACGATATTATGCCGAGGTGACGTTGTTCTAGCGAAGAGGTTCCTGAAGTCGCCTCATCATCAACGGTGCCTCCTTCTGACAGCAGAGATGTGGTGGTAGAGGAGAGTGATAGCCCTCCTACGGTGGAGGAGCTACTACCGAGGCACCCCTTATCCCAGAGTGACTTCCTAAAAAATCCACCTTTTACCCCGAACCCCGTATTTTCTGAGATGGAGCAGGTCCATATTGATGCCCTTCGTATGAAGTATGACATTCCTGCTCATATAGAAATGGTTCTAGCAGGGAGAGATCACGTAGACGTCCACAGACCTGCGTATTGTGCTTTCTATGGGTACCCTTTTATGATCGGCTACACCCTTCCTCTCTTCCCCTTAGCGGAAGAATTCTATAGATTTTACCAAGTTTGCCCAGCATAACTTTTGCCATACACGCTCAAGGTGCTTCTGCTATTGACTAAGTATGCAGAGTTGGCGGAGTGTAGCGTTTCTGTCCACCACCTTTTGCACCTGTTCACGCCTGACTTCCTCAGGGGTACCATGGTGCATTTGAGGCTTCGCGGTACGAAAGGGCTGGTGGTTGGAATGGTTGACCGGGCGAGCCGTAAGTTTTGACACAAGTACTTCTTTGTGAAGACCGAGCAAGTCATTTCTGACTCCGCCAGATTCCCATAGCGGTGGAACGGGACTCGTAAGTGCCGTCATTTGTTATGTTCCCCTTTCTTCTATATTCACTATAAAGTTTATTCGCTTGCCGTTTTGCAGCTATGGGCCGTCCACCTTACCTTATTGCGGGTATCAAGGATTGGGTAGCCCGCTTGTTGCCTCATGTAGCAGAAACTCGAACTTGGCCCGCCTTCATACAGCGTTATGGCCCTAAGGTTTCCTCAGGTAAATGTCTTACTTAGTACTTCGTTGGCCATGCGACCTTGCTTAATTGTACGACCCTTTGTGATGACAGGTCGAGGAGCTTCCAGGCGGAGGGTGCCAGTCCCCGCCTTTAGACAAGCCGTTGCTACTGCAGATACGCAGTTTGTCTTCAGCGAGTCTGTTCAGGAGGGTCGTCCTCAACCTATTCAATTGGGAGATCCGTCTCGAGTTGTGGCCGTGAGGGAAGAGACTTCTTAGGTACCGGCCTCACATCCTTTGGATGAATATTCTAATGGGAATGAGCCGTTGTCAAGGAAAATGAGGAGGCTGGAACTGGGGAAGGGTGTGGCTGGACAACCCCTGTGCCCGTATTCATGGCCGATGCCATTTTGTCGGGGAGATCTCCCCAAGTGGAAGGAGTTGATCCAGGAGCTGGTTCGGTGCGCTCTGTTGAGGGTGGTACATCGTCTAACATTGGAGGGCATCGTGTGGAGGGTGGAAGCTCGGGTTCAGATATTGACCCAGAGGATGTTAATGAATTTGTAGGTCGCCATACCCATGTGGAGGTTAGGATGGACGGATCTGACTGTCATGTGGTCATTCCGGGGAACTACAACTTGCTGTTGAACAGCGAATAGGTGGCATCAGCCCTAGCTCCTCTATGTGCCGCTCCTGAAAGCGAGATGCTTGGGGCGATGAGCAACATGGAGTTATCTCATAGGTCGCTGGTATGGCCCTGCAGGTAGGTGCCTTTCCTTCTCTTTTTGTCGTTGGATTGATGCAGTAATCGTCATTCTGTATTTTGTTTTTAACTTCTACCCTTCCCGTTTTGTCAGAACCACGTCCTGGAGATTGAGAGAGAGCATCGAGAGAGAAAAAGACGAGCATTTATAAGAAGATGTCATCCAAGTATCAGCAGTATCGTGCTAAGCATCGGTCGATGTCCGACATTTATCATCAAGACCCCGACTTTCAGGTGTTTCGTGAGGGGCTCAAGCAGCGGGAAGGCCAGCTGGAGCGCAAAATAGAGGAGTTGAGGGAGAGGGACGAGGAGTTCGTGAAGGTTGTCACCCGTAACAATGAGTTGGAGACCTCCCTTAAGGCGAAAGAGGACGAGCTCGAGTTAACCACGGGGGTGATGGCTGAGAATGCCGACTTACAAGCGAAGGTGGCCGCCTTGACTGCTGAGTTGAGTACTAAGGCAACGGAGATTGAAGGGCTTAAGGGCGAGCTGAATGTTAGCGCTCATAAGCTGGCGACAACTATCTCTGAATCGGTATCTTTGGAAGATGCCCTTTACATTTCCAGGTCAGAGTTGATTGGGGAGAGTGAAGCCTCTGGTCGTCGGGCTGTAGGGCTCGAAGGGCGTGTCAAAGAGCTAGAGGCGGAGCTGACTGCACTAAACCGACAAATGGCCTCGTTAAGGGCAGAGGATGCGAGTCGACGTTCTTAGCCTTCTACGTCTCGTGCCTCAGCCGATTCGGTTGTGCCCCATCGTTTATATGAGTTATGGGTCCACGCGGAGGCTTGGCTTGATGTTTATAAGACTTTTCACGTCGAGGGAAGGGCTGCTGAGGCGGAGGTTCAGGCTGTGCACGCCGAAGCTCTTATAGCTCGTGAATCATGCGGGTACGACCCCCTTACACCTGACGGGGGTGGTATCAACTCTGATGATGCGAATCACATTGCTTCAGATTCATGGTATGAAGACGCTTACCCCGCTAGTGATGATGTGTAGTCTTAGTTTGTATTTGCGTTTGTTTAGGGATTTTTGCATGGGTCGTACTTGGGCCCGTTTGTAGGGGCAAGTGTAAATGATACTTTGTTGTAATGTAAAATTTACTTTTGTCAGCTTATTTATTTCTTGCATTTACCGCACGTATGATATCGTTGACGCCCTTGGCTATTGGGATGTTGTTTCGACCTGTCGTCGAAGTGGAATCCCATCGTAGTTCGAACGAGGTCGAACTTACGTTTTCGTCAATGGCCTTAGCCATTGGGACGTTGCTTCAAACTATTGTCGAAGTAGAATCCCGTCGTAGTTTGAACAAGGTCGAACTTATACTTTCGTCAATGGACTTGGCCATTGGGATGTTGCTTCGAACTATCGTCGAAGTAGAATCCCATCGTAGTTCGAACGAGGTCGAACTTATACTATCGTCGATGACCTTGGCCATTGGGATGTTGCTTCGAAA